GTCCCAATTATAATTACTGATTATAATTCAATCGATTTCCTGTCCCTTCTTGTTGCCTTTCTGCCCATCATTGATTTGTTTTAGTGGATGCCCTTTGAACATCATTAGCTTGACAATGAAGGCAGTAGTAGAGTTCAGTCCTCTTGACCCTCCAGTTTGAAAGTTCCTTCAAAAGCTTCAAATTACTGTTTCAAACGAGAAAGGTTGTGATTAGCAGCTGAGGTGCTGGCTGCCTTGTGTTTGCAATTTTCATTTTTGTGGAGTATTTGTAATGGTCTGAGTCTGGGTACGTTTTTGAAAATGGTGCTCTTACCCAATTTTCAAGAGCAGAGGTCCCACATTGCAAAGGAGAGTGATATGGTTTGCTTTCTCCCATTCTAACTGGTGTGGAAGGAACAGAAGAAATGAGTACTTGTTTGGCAAAATAAACCCAAGTTTCTATTTCAGTTTGCTAGTGGAAAGCTTTAAAAGTGCACGTAATTTTATATTCCCTGAAGCACTGTTTGTATTTTAGGAACATTACTCCCTGTAATTTGTATAAATGGGTGTCTTGGTTCTCTTATTTTTACAGATCGTGTCTAAGCATATTCTGTTCTTGAGAGCTTGGCATTTTTGACTGAAATTTGTAGCTATGAGGCTAATTATCACCATCACTAAACCACCATTGAACTTGGGTAACTTCGTCAATAGGTTTGTTGGTTTTTTAAAAAGGAAAGAAATGTTTTCTCTCTTGCATGCAATTTGACTTTTTTTCCTTGAATAGAGTAACAAGATCACAAGATTCCTTTGAATGAAGAAGCCCCTTTGGCCTATTTGATTTCATCCATCCAAAATGCATCCTCTACAGCATCAAGTTGTCTTTTTTAAATAAGTTCAGGGTCCTGCCATCAACCACCCTTCCTTGCGACCTATTCCAGTCAGCAGTAGCCCTCTGGGTCAAGAAATATTGTTCTGCATTTTCTTCCTCAATCTTATTTAAAGTGTTACATAATAATAAATAATCCTTGCATTTGATATAGCACCTTATCACACCTTTGAGATGTCTCAAAGCACTTCACAGAATATACTGTAAAGTGAATAGACAGTATATTTTGTGGACAAACGTGGCAGCCAATTGCACGCAATGTCCCACAAATTCTAGTTAGTCTAATTGCTCATTCTTCTAACACTGGGGATCATCCTTGTTGCCCCCATCCATACTGCCTTACATCCTGGGCAGCCTCTTTATGTTGTGGTAACCACAAATCTACACACTGTACACCTATGACTTCTGATGATCTGACCTCAACTAATTTGGCAGTGGAACCTAGCATCCTGTTTACCTTGTGTATTGCTGCCTCGCACTGTTTTGACCTGGTGAGCGATAAGCCAACTCGAAGCTTCCCACAAGTTCTATCTCATCTTGTGTGTGTCTCCTATTCTTACTTCCTACATGCAGTTCCTTGTATTTATTTGTTGTTTGGCAGTCATCAACCATGTGCATTAACCTATATTTGTAAGACTTTTGCTGCCTTCTCTGATTCCTCAGTTTTCTCTATCCTTGTATCATATGCAAATTTAAGAACCTTAGGCTGGATCTGCAAATCAATGTCAACATATACAAGGAACAGATCCACGGACATTGGCCACCCTCTGGTAATTTGTCAAAGATCTCATTATTAATGCATGAATTTTGGTAAGCTATTTGACCCTGGTCACAGTGATATTCATTCCTTGCCCAAATGTTCCGACTTATGCACCTTTCAACAGTGATCTGGATATCAGTCAAGTGCAAGAATACTGGCTAATTTCACTTCAAGGACGGTTCCCTGTCTGAGATGAGACAACAATAACAACAACTGGTATTTATATAGCGCCCCTCACGCAGGGTAGAATTCCAGAGCATTTGCTAGTGATGGAGCATAATGCTGAGCCGGAAGGGGGTGTGGGAGGTGACTGTCAACACGGTTGAAGAGGAACTTCTTCAAGCGCAATATGAAGATGGGGAAGGAAGGGATAAGGCAGAGGGATATAAGAAGAGTGTTCCAGACTTCTGGGGCATAGTGTCTGAAAGTGCAGCCACTGTTGGTGGAATGGAGAGCACCAGGGACAAGCAGGATGCCGTAGCCAGTCGAGTGTAGGCAATGGGTAGTGGATCGGGGAGTAAGCGAGCCAATGCTTTAGAGGGGGTAAGTGGGGTGGGTAGACAGATGAGATCAAAGAGGCTGAAAAAGGCCTTCATTTGTGATATTGTGAACTCATCAGACATGGGTTTGGATCTGTAATGTTTCAGACTGTCCTATTGCTGCACTGGGCAGTCGGTGGCTTTACCAACCAGGCAATCAAGGACATCACTGACTGAAGTTATTTTAAGGGTTGAGATATGTGGTTTGCAAGAAAGTTGAATGAATAAAGGTTATTCAGTCCATTGAACTCACTCCTTTGACAAGAAGTAATAATAAGTAGAGCATATATTGGCAAGGAATCTCCTCAAATGAACTCCTGGGAGTATCTGAGGAACCCACGCCCCACCTCTCCATGTCCGGCTATATTTATTTTCTGAGCAAACTCTTTGTGTTTTTCTTTAACCAAAATGATTTCCTGTCATTTGAAAATAGACAAAATTTAAATCCTGCATTTTCTCCTTGTCCTGCTTAACCCCTGGTGTGCCACACAAATACTTTCTAAACACAATTCTTGATTTGATTTTTCATCTGGTAAATTCTGTGCTTGTCAACTTCAGTGGTTGGTTCTTGAGAATAGGACAGTTTCCTATTTTTTTAAAAAACACCGTCAGCATTGAATGCTCTATAAAGGCAGGCATGGGAGTAGTTAAATGTGAAGCACTAAACTAAACAAGACCCTCCTCTTCGACCACGCCTTCGGTCACCCTTCCACCCTTACCCTCCCTGCCCTCCATCCCACCTGATCCCAACTCCCAGCTCAGGTCCAAATCCCTGTCCTGTCCAGGCTTGAGGGGCTGAATGGTCTACTCCTGTTCCTATGTTTCTGCCTTTCCCTCGATTTTCATTGGGTCAAGATCAAAACTCGTGGATGGCAGATTCTCCACTGTAACTCATTCACACTCAAGACTGTGCATTCCTCCCTCATGCATCCTACATGGAGGTGACTGTAGGCACTGTCGAATAGGAAGGTCTTCAGTCACGCCCTCAAAACGGGGAAGGAAGGGGCAAGGCGGAGGGATAGAGTAAGAGTGTTCCAGAGTTTCGGGGTGCCCTCACTCAGCCTCTTTTGCCAGAGATTAAAAACCAGGGCCACCAGCTTGGCAGAGAAAATAAAGGCTCATCTCAAACCTCAGTGGACCTGTGGGACACTGCTGTGCGAAATTGGCTGCTGAGTTTCGCCCACAAAATACAGTCACTACACTTTACAGTATATTCTGTGAAGCGCTTTGAGACGTCTTGAAGACGTGATAAGGCGCTATATCAAATGCAAGGATTATTATTTATATTATAATTATGCTACTTAAACCATTAGCTTGTTATTAACTTAGACTTGTGTTGAATCCATCTTGTTCCTCAGATACTTTGGTGGTGTGCTGGACTGTGGATCATAGCCTTTCCACTTGGTTCTAAATAATCACCTTCATAGAATTATATAGCACAGAAGGAGGCCATTCAGCGCATTGTGTCTGCTGGCTCTTTGCAAAGACCTATCCAAATCAATCCCACGTCCCCACTCTCTCCCCATAGCCCTGCAAATTTGTCCTCCCCAAATAATTATCTAATTATTACCTTCAAAGTACACTATTTACAGTAAATGCTGCAACAGATTTTGAGATGTCTTTCTAAGGTGAAAAGGGCAATATCAAATGTTATTATTACAAACCAAAACTGGTGAGCTTTAGAAGAGAGCCTCTAAAGTCAATATATCTCCACTTGATACACCACCTTCTTATTATGCCCTCGCTGAATAAGATTGCTAACTTGGTGTCAGTTTGTGCCAGGTTACAGGGCGTTTAGTGTTTTGGACTTGTGCCTACCAGGGACCTGGTTATGGGTAACCACACTCCTTTCACCTGGGACCTTTGTAACCAGGAGCGAGACTTTCATCCCCTCAGTCTAGACTAGATTCACGCCTGGGTCCCAGCCTTTTATTGGATTAATTAACACATGTCCTGTAATCAGCCTCCGAGTTGCAGTTAAACACTAGTGTTCTGGAAACAAATTGTCTGCATCTGTGGACGTTGGGCGTTCGACATGGTTTTGCCACTTCAGGTACTTTAAATCTTGATGAGACTTCCTCTCCGCCTACTCTTCCTCTCCACCTTGGCTTTTTTTTAAAAAAGCGTAGGACAGCTGGATGCTGGATGTGGTGCTTTTAGAGGTTTCAATGAACACCATCCTCCCCTTCCTCTCCTGACGGTGCTGACCTTTGCTGTAATACAATGCTATTGCACCAGCACATCTGCTGTCTCACCCCATTGACCATTCTTTATGTGTGAGTCATGACGAGGAGGCAGTGTGACCGTGGAGGGTATTATAGCTAAGTCTGACTCGGATGAAGCCTGATGTTAATTTTCCATTATCCAGATGCCTGGATAGAGATTAGAAGCAAGAGCATTGATTTTTATTTTTCTCTCTCTATCCCCCCGCCCAGGTGCTGAAGCCGATATTCATTGCTCATTGCTGCCCCAGTTGAGATCAGTTAACTCAGCACAAACTGGGATTTGATCCTGATGTACATGGGTCCGTATGACAAAGCAGATGTAGTTTTTACCAAATTACCTATAGAGGAAGCATTGCCACATGTACGATTCATACCTTTTATATCCTGCATTCCTTCGCTCTCCATATTTAGGAAGATAGTTTAGATTCCCATGGGGTCTTATGCTTGTGACACATGTTGCAGTACTGTATTACAACCTGAGAATAAACTGTATCTGGGAGGGTTAATGTACTAGAGAAATGCACTTGTCGTCCAAATGGCCTCTTCTCATCCTTGACTTTTCTTATGCTCTTTTACTGAAGGAAAGTAATTCCTTTTATTTTTTTATTTAGGACTTGAGACCAGATGAAGTTTCAAAAACTGCACTTCAGGGAAATCTCAGTTTCGAAAAGATCTGCAAAAAGGTAGGTGATCTGTTATCACTTACTGATGTTAGTTTGTGCTTCTCTTTAAAGGGCAACAAAACTGACCATTGTCATTGTTTACATTCTTCCTCATTCAGGTGATATTTTCCCATTTCTCCCCATATTTTGTATTCTTGGACAGTCCCATACCTTCAGGATATTGCTGGCATTAGAACTAGGAGTCACAATATCACAGAGGGCTGATGATCCTGGATGAAGCTTGAAGGAATGAGTAGAGAAAAGATGTGACATGGGCATGGAAGGACTATGCTTCTTGGATTTAGTTAATTGTTGAGTTTAAAATAGTGCTTTCATAGCGTAACCACTACTACAAACAAGCCCTAACACGTAAAGTGCATTTTCTCCAGAGAACAACCTGTACGTCACACCAAGTTATGTGAGCTCAATACTGAGGCAATCTCAGGGTGGTGCCAAAATCTCACAAGACATACAGAAAACCCCGTAGAAAACCTAGTGTTTTGTCATGGGCACTTTCAATTAAAGTAGCACCTAATCAGTTCATCTCCATTAAACAAAGTTTAGAAATTCTGTGAGGAGCCATTTCCATTTGTGGAAGTCCAATGTTGTGGTTAGCAGTGATATACCACACTCCCAGACTGCTATTATACATCCATTTTAGATAATACTTTCTGTGTATTATCTTAAAAGTGCAATAGAAGCTCACTAATGAGGTCAGTAAACAGTCAATATATAGACAGAGGAATTTTGACCAATTTGTGGGTTGTTTTCACAAGTGAGTTTATATAATTCTGAGCTATATAATATAATGTCCAAAGGCAAAAGACTGGAAAAGAAATTGACTGCGTTAACGAGTTCATCTCGGTAGGGGGAGGTAACTTTGAAATGAGCTCTCACTGTTTATTGTTTGATATTATCTGGAGTATAATTCAAATACATTACAATACAAAATTACATTTGTAAAGCGCCTTTTATGTCAGGAGGACGTTCCAAGGCGTTGAACAGTCATGGATTAGGACGCGAGCAGGATGGGGGTGCCAAAGGCACGATCAAAGAGGAGGGTCTTGAGGTGTGGCTTGGAAGAAGTCAAGGGAGGGAGTGAGGTGAAGGGAATGTGGGATGGAGTTCCAGAGGGTGGGGGCAGAGAGGCTGAAGGCCCGACCGCCGATGGTGGGGCGGGCCGGGTGGAGGACATGGAGCAGGCCAGAGCCTGCTGAGTGGATGGAGCAGACTCGTTGAAGGGGTAAGCTGGTCAGAGAGGTAGGAGGGGGCAAGGGCATGGAGGACCTTGAAGGTGAGGCAATCTTAAACCTGATCCTCTGAGGGATGCGGAGTCTTTGGAGCTGGGCGAGGAAGAGTGTGATGGGGATCACAAATACAGTTTGTTTCACTACATTGCTCGATGGCTATTTTAATGTTTCACTTTTCTGAAGACATGATTTCAGTTACAACTTGCATGTGTTCAAACTCACCTGAATATTCTTTGCTTCCCCATCCCTCAAAAAAGTCTCCCATCAGTCTTTAGTCTCATGCTATGAGCACCATGACACTTTATTTATTTTAGAAAGATAATTACCTCCCCTTCCACAGTCCTAGTTGTAAGTTTAATAAAATAATGAAACCTGTTAGAAATCAGAAGATTTTTCTGTATTAGAAGTTGTGTGAATGTGGATGCAGTGCCACAGGCCCTAGCTGTAGCATCTATTGGGATATTTAAAAGAGAATTCAATAGACACTAAGGGAATTAGGAGAAATTGAGCAAAGGTTCAATGAACTGTCCTGATCCAATATAAATGGTGGTACAGAATGGCCTCCTCCTCTTCCATGGTACTAATTCATCAAGGACTATATTATTACTTTAACAAAGAAAAGAATTGTCCTTAATTTGAGGCATTATCATTCCAGTACACAGTACTTTACGATCTACTGTACAGTCTGAATCTTTAAACAAATCTGCATGTAGTTGAGTTTTCACTTTTTTCCACTGCCAACTCACTGACTGGAGATCATTACTGCAACATTTGTAATCTGGATCCTATAATGTGAAAGAATTGGACTGCAAAAGGTGTGTTTTTATTTCTCCCCAAAAGCTGCTTCTGATAACAAGCTTGCAGTACCGCTCTGTTGCCAGTGACTCAAGAATTTAAAGCAAAATATCGTCCAAAAGGAAATATTTGTTTGTATGGTTTAAAAGTGAGCTACTTTTGATTCTGTCACAGTATTGGGTGGTGACCTTATGAAATAATTGATAAACCAGATGTTTGTTGGTATTTCCTGCCACCCACTGTGACTTTCTGTTCCATTACTAGTTTTTTCTTCACTTTTCTAGTAGGAGGAAAACCACAGGAATAAATCAGGTAAAAAGCTTGAGGAAAACTTTTCAGATGGTGCAGACATGCTGACATTTTACAAGCTTTGCTATGTTAGATATCGCACAAACAAGGCCTTTAATTGACCGCAGTGAGTATTGGACATGTTTTTAGAAGCTAGCATTAGCTCCAAGGTCTATAGCAATAGTTCCAAGGTCCATGACCCGCTCTGCCTTGGGACGTCCTCCTGACGTGAAAGGCGCTTTATAAATGGAATCTTGTTGTTGTTGTTGCCTTCCCTCAACTCCGTAACATCGCCCGACTCTGCTACTACTTCAACACTCAGGCCAACATCACTCCCACTTTGAAAAAACCCTCCCTCGATGCGTCGCAGCTATCAAGCTACCGGCCCATCTCCAACCTCTCCTTCCTGTCCAAGGTCCTTGAAAGAGTTGTCGCCTCCCAGCTGCGCTCTTTCCTCTCCACCCATTCATTATTCGAACCAGTTGGGTTTCCGTGCTGACCACAGCACAGAAACTGCCCTGGTCAAGGTCACCAATGACATCCTGACCATCTGCGACCAGGTCTCCCTCTGCCTCCTCGTCCTCCTCGACCTATCGGCAGCATTCGATACAGTCGACCACGCTATCCTCCTCCACCGCTTGTCCTCCCACCTCAACCTTCAAGGCCCTGTCCTTGAGTGGTTTAGGTCGTACCTCTCCCACCGTCCTCATTTTGTTTCCACAAACGGCTTTTCCTCCGGCCCCCGCACTGTCTCGTGTGGTGTCCCTCAGGGCACTGTCCTCGGTCCCCTCCTCTTCACCCTCTATATGCTCCCCCTCGGTGACATCATCCGCAGACATGGGGTTAACTTCCACATGTATGCGGATGACACCCAACTCTACCTTTCCTCCTCTACCCTCAACTCCATGACCACCGATGTCCTGACAGCTGCCTGTCCGACATCGAGTCCTGGACGAGAGACAACTTTCTTCAGCTCAACGTGCGCAAAACTGAGGCCCTCCTGATTGGCTCACGTCAGCGCCTCCGCACCTCAGGCGCTGACACCATCAGCATCCAAGGCTGCACTCTCCACCTTTCAAAGCCAGTCAGGAACCTCGGGGTTCTGTTCGACCCTGAGCTGTCCTTTCTCCCTCATATCCGCACCACAACTGGCACCGCCTTCCATCACCTCCGGAACATCGCCAGACTACGGCATTACCTCACCCCTCACGCTGCTGAAACTCTGGTCCATGCCTTTGTCACCTCAAGGCTGGACTATGGGAACTCTCTCCTCGCCGGCCTTCCCGGCACCTCCCTCCACAAGCTGCAGGTCATTCAGAACTCTGCAGCTCGTGTACTGTCCCGCACCAGGCTTCGGGACCACATCACTCCCACCCTCGCTCGCCTCCACTGGCTCCCCATCCCCCAGAGGATCGAATTCAAGATCCTCATCCTCACCTACAAGGCCATTCACGGCCTTGCTCCCTCTACCTCTCCGACCTACTATCCCCCTACTTACCCGCCCGTACCCTCCGTTCCTCTGGCTCCGGTCTGCTCCACATCCCCCGCCCCAACCGCCCTACCATCGGTGGCCGGGCCTTCAGCCTCTCAGCCCCGAGGCTCTGGAACTCTATCCCCCAGTGCCTTCGCCGCCTCCTCCCTTTCCTCCTTCAAGGCCGGTCTCAAGACCTTTCTCTTTGACCGTGCCTTCAGCTCCCCTCTCAACTCTCTACCCCCTCCTCGCTCCCTCCCTTCCCTCCCCTCACCCTGACCATTTCCCCCCTGCTCGGGTCCCGACCCAACTGTACAGCGCCTTGGGACGTCCTCCCGACGTGAAAGGCGCTCTATAAATGGAATCTTGTTGTTGTTGTTGTTTCTTTCCCAGTGTGTTGGATTGATTTCCTGGGGGAATTAACCTCACTGTACAACTGAGAATGGCAACTTACTGTGAAGAAAACCTCAGGTACAAACTTGGTCTTCTACCACTGCACAGGCAGGGGGCTGTCCTGCTGTGATTTTTCCAGCCTTCCTGTGCTGTCGTGTCTATGGTAAACTGACGTTACTCATGTATTCTCTTTAGAAATACGGTGCTCTTAAGGCAAGGGTTATCTGCACTGATTTTTCTGTCATTACTACCAAAGGGTTAAAAGTTTGTTTATTTTTATATTTTAAAAAAATACATCTGGTTGCCACCAAATCCCATTTTGAAAATTGAATGTCAGGTTCAGTAATAGGGAGGATCATCCATTCAATGATGAAACACCACTCTAAAGTTAGCCCGACCACAAATCTATGCAACATAATCCCGGTTACCCAAATGATAATTATCAAAGTCACACCCAGCCCACCATCTTAAATAGTTGACAGTGGTGTGTCTGGTTATATTTGATGTTTTTCTCCACTCCCCTCAAGGCAAAACAAGTTTAAATTCGGCTACCCGACCTGCCAGATTTTCTGGCCATGGGCAGGTAAATCTTTCTGTGAGCAAAATGGACAGGGAGATTGTGTTTACTCACTGACTTCACCACACTATGGCAATCCAGGGGCCATTGCGGCTGGTACAAAGCTGGGCTTGTCCATTATGCGAGACATTGGATAGAGATCAGATCTGGTCCACAACAGGAAATGCGCATTGTGATTTGCTGTTTGAAGAATCTGTACTGATTGTGGAAAGTACAGAGTGTGTTTTTTTCCCTACCACACGTGGTT